TTAATATTTTCTAGTCAATCTTCATAATTATTTTTCTCTTTTTTTTTTTTCAAGAATGAAAACTAAATTGCAAAGTTGATAATTTTGCAATGTATTCATAATTGGTAATTAAATCTATCTAAACATTAGCTATATGCTATTCTCTTGGTTTATTGTTTCAAATTATCATAAAATAATATTCTCAGTTTTTTGCAAAAAGTCACAAAGTGCAGTTTTGATATAGTTTAACTTTCAAGTATGAATTTTGACTTTATTTATCGATACAGAAACACTGTAAGTGCATGGAAATGAAACAAACCTTTTTATATACCAAATATAATTACAAGCTCCTAATTTTCTGATTTCATAAAGGAAAAATTCTTTTAAGTTATTAATTATTTAAGTTTATGAAACATCACTTAATGACATACTGTTGAGTACTTGAATACCTTCAGTGTTCGAACTACGCCCTGATAATGATCCACATGTTCAACAAACAATAAAGCAAGAGAAAAGCATACTATAGCAAATGTTTAGATAGATTGAATTACCAATTTTGAATACATTGCAAAACTATTAACTTTGCAATTTAGTTTTCATTCTTGAAAAAAAAAGAAAAAGAGAAAAATAATGATGAAGATTAACTAGAAAAAATTAATATTATTATTTAAAAAGATATGATATCAATAAATGACTGTTATATTTCTATTTAATTACTTAAAAGATATTAAAGTTAGTTGGGAATGCTGCCAGTGAGGAATAAAAACAAAACAATTTTGTTTTCAATAAATTTCATTATATTTTGTTTTTTAACTGAGTGCATCCCCATTTATATATTATCTACAGTCAACTGTTTCTTCACTATTAGATGTTTTATTTTAAAATCTCCATGAACATCAACACTATGTAAAGCAGTTACTAGCTGCCATATGGTAACTGCTGGTACAGGTCAGGTCAGGTGGGCACACATGCATAACAGTGGACTTTAAAGAATACATATAAAATACACATCCTTTAAAAATAATTTTATAAACAAATTTAACAATAATAATATTGCAGACATAGTTCATAACATTGCTTTAAAAAGAATGTTAATAGAGAAAATATTTAGTTTTTTGTAATTACAATTGTGACATTCTAATAACAAAATAAATAAGAAAAAAAAAATAAATAAGACTTTTTAATAAAGTAATAGAAATGAAAAAAAAAATTGTTCTCTTAAGTAAGCACTATCCAATTTACTCTTATTTCTAGAGAGAAATATACAATTAATGGTTTGAAAGGATCAATAATCAAAACGTTTCAAGCCAATCTTTTTATATCTTTCTTGAAACATAAGAAGATAATACAACTAATCACAGAATTAATCTATTAAAAAATTTAACATTTGTATAAAAAATATAATTGGGATAGTATTTTATTTCAATATTTAGACTATTATCATGGTAATATTACACACACACAAAAATACTTTCCCTCACTACATATTTCATAAATGGCTAAGTGAAAGTAAAAGATAAAACAATTTTTTTTGTAACTTGATGAAATGAAAATAATAAATCTATAAAGATTTTAATGTGAGGTCAAAAAGATGCCTCCCATTTCAAAACTTAAATTTTATAATTGAATTATGATCAATAATCAAGCAAAACAGTTAATACCATAATTTAGTATTATTGGATATCTGTTTACACAATACTTTTATGTATTATACTCTTCAATGTCATTAAGTTTGACAATAACATATTATTGCCTAATTGAATACATATAATAATACATTATATAGTAGAAAAAATAAATCATAAATTATTCAATCACTATAACAAGATATAACTGCTAACAAACTAAGTTTAAGTATCCAGATATCCACGAATTAAACTACAGTAATACGATTGTTAAAGTAATTTTTGCCCTTTTTAAAATCAAAATTATTGGTAATGAACAATCATTGACTAGTTATATTAAAATATTAATTCCAAAAATGAAAAACAATACCATTTGTCTGGCAGAAACAACTGTAGCGGTTGAATTTTAGTATATTAAAATATCAGTCTTCAAATAGAAAGAAGTACAACTAAGGAATGCAAGAAAACAGTAGCAATAATAAATTTAATTTGAGATAATGGTGAATTAAAATCACCACCACACAACCAAACTCCCATTCAGCCACCCCAAACCCCCCCCCAAAAAACAACAAACCCAACAAAACACCCCCCACCCCCACCCCACCCACTCTTCCTTAAACCCCTCCACCACAACCACCCCTCACCCAAACATTCACCCCTTTCCAAACTCACCCCCCCCACCCCCCCCCCCACCCCCCCCCCACCCCCACCCCCCCCCCCACCCCCACCCCCCCCCCCCACCCCCACCCCCCACCCCCACCCACCCCCACCCCCCCCCCCCCCCCCCCCCCACCCCCCCCCCCCCCCCAACCCCCCCCCCCCCCCCACCTCCCCCCCCCCCCCCCCCCCCCCACCCCCCCACCCCACCCCCCCCCCCCCCACCCCCCCCCCCCACCCACCCCACACCCCCCCCCCCCCCCCCCCCCCCCACCCACCCCCCCCCCCCCCCCCCCCCACCCACCCCCCCCCCCCACCCCCACCCCCCCCCCCCCCCCACAACCCCCCCCCCCCCACCCCACCCCCCCCCACACCCCCACACCCCCCCACCCCCCCCCCCCCCCCCACACCCCACCACCCCCCCACCCCCCCCCCCCCCCACCCCCCCCCCCCCCCCACCCCCCCCCCACACCCCCCCCCCCCCCCCCCCCCCCCACCCCCCCCCCCCCCCCCCCCCCCACCCCCCCACCCCAACCAACACCCCATCCCACCCAGACCCTACCAACATCTCCTAACTTCCACCATCAACCTTAATCACGCACCCAACGGACCACGCCTACACCATACTCATCCCGCCCCCTTCCTGACATCAATCCAACAGACCCTTCTTAATCCCACCCAAAACAAGCAATCCCGCCCATAATCCCGTCCCACCACTCCCCTACCAGGACTACACAAAACGGGGATTCGGGCTTCAGCAATTCGTTCACAACCGGAACCCCCCCTCTCACACCCACCAATCCCCCTCCAACCCACCCCCCCCCCCCCCCCCACCCGAGGCACTGTACTTCCGCCATCTGTATAGAATACATATTTTTATAGAATTCCATATAAACATATATTATAATGCTCTTTTTATCATGCTGCACTAAAATGGTCCAAATCAGCCATCACACAATATCTATTAGATACATGTATATATGTAGCATATAAAGTACATATACGTACAAACATTTACATATAAAGTATATATTAGATACATGTACAAACACAGTATATATTAGATACATACACAAGAAACAGAGAAATGAGCATGAAGTGATATGCCTCCATCTATAAGTGGGTGTTAAACCGACAAAGATAGAATGACAGATTTATTTATTATCACTTTTCTGACCCATCCAGAGATAATTAACAACATATTTCATTAGCTTTAACGCATCATCAATATCATCACAGATATCTAATAGTACTCTATTCAACATCAGGGTTTCTATCTAAATTATTTAGAGCAAGTGTAAACAATGATGAGGCAAAACATTTTATAAGATATCTATCTCAACTTTCTAATATATCAGTTTTAATTGGAACGGTGCATCATTATAAATGTTTTATCTGTCTTTTTATTTAGCTGAGTTGAAGCGATTCTTGGTAAGGGCTTTTAACTTTTTAGATACTATTTTCCGGAGAATAAGTCATGTAAGATCTGTTAATGAATATAAATCAAAATATTTATTTCAAGTGAATATAGTAATTTTCAATATCATTTATAATAAATGATTTTGTAATAAGGATAACTTTGTTTAATAAGGATGAAATGTTAGTCCTTACACATTTATTTAATAATACAGATTTTGCAACGCAACTAGATGATCAACTTGTTATAATCAAAATTATGAGTAAGTTTGAGCCTTAAAGACATCTTTTAGTTATGATAGTATAAGTTTCATTACAAATAAATTTTAAATCTTCTAACTAAATAAAAGATCTTTTATTGGCATGATATAAAACTGTCTGCTTTAAGTTGCCTCTAAAATATATACAATGGAAAACAAACAATAACTTTGAACAGATTACACAATCATTTGCTAATGATATCTACAATCTAAATAAAAATTCACAAAACAATAAAAAATAAATATTTTTGGTTAAAGTTGTTTGATTTTATAATTATTTTTATCAACAGAAGAATTTTTTGTATACTATTCCTGAATCAAAAACATTCTATATTTATAAGCAGATATGTGAAATTTAAATAAAATCTTTACCATTCAGTAAGCTTATAATAAATATAGTGGCTTCATATCAAAGACAGGTATCTGTAATTTTTAGGAATTGGAGAAAAGTAAATTTTTGTTTTATAGGTTCAACTCAAACTATTTCTGATGATTTTGTTTAAGAATATTCAAGTTGAATTACATAAAACAATCATTAGAATTGGTCTAAATTGAAGATATATTACTAAAATTGGCTTCTTTTCAACTTTTTAAAAAAGATTGATGTATGCTTTCGATATTAAGTCACTCAATTCATTCTTAAATAATACTATATTCTTATAAAACAAGACAAACAGTGACGTAGTGGGTGGTATACATCCTCAATTACATTTACATTACAGAGATTGAATAATCTTTGTGGTTCACCTCTCATTACACTATTGTTAAGATGCATCGATTGTCAATGGAATTTAAATAGAACTTTAATAAAATTAGTTTTATTTACATCTGATAATGAATGCTTTTCACCTAAGCTGCTATTTAAATTCTAATAAAGACAATCTGGCTTTTTCCATCATATCTACCTTAAAATTATTTTTTAATTTAGATTATTAGTAATTAAATATCCACAAAACAATTTTTTTTATAGTTTTAAATATAGATTCAAACACTTTTATCATTTCATCATATTTGAAAATCATTAATAAAAGGCATAAATTACTTATTTATGGTTACTTCAATTTTAAATTAACTTACCAACACCTTCAGCTATGAGAGAAACTAAAGTCCCAGAAAATGCACCCAATGCAGTAAGAAGCTGCAAATACATTGCCTAAACAATAAAATAAAAATAGATTATTGATACAAAAATAAATAACAATATTTTAAAAATATTATGTGATGTTTATCAATTTTTTACTTTCACTTACCTATATATGAAATATATAGTAAGGGACAGTATTGCGATCGTGCAAATTTTCGAATCTCAGTTTTCAACGGAAATATGGGTTTTAAGGTCTCCTGAGTCCAAACAACCAAGACCCACAAAATGGTCTGTGTGTGTGAGTGTCTGTATGTATGTGACTAACTCAAAAACGAAAAGTCATATGAAAGTGAAATTGCATATTTGAGGTTTTTATGAGCTTTGGACATTACACTAATCTTTTTGTCAAAATTGCCAAAATTGTCAAGTGGCACTTTATATCAATCGTTATACACATTTTTCTCAAAAACGGCTCCAACGATTTTGATTAAACTCACTATATCAGTGTATTATTAAGTAGTTTTTAATATTATAGAGGTTTTATTCTCATTGATGTTCTCTAACAGGGCTTAAATGGCTTATATTCAATGCTCTAGCTTCCTCTAAAGTACCTTTAATTGTTTATTGTTAAATAAATTAAAACAAATAAGATTAGATGAAATAGAAAAAGAAATACCCCCTTGGATCTATATCCAATCAAAATTAAATCTCCAACTGGCCAAATTCAACAAAGATAGTACATTAGATGCAGATTATAAAGAAAAGTTCCTCAAAATAATCATCACATTACCTGAACATCTAATATTCACCAACGGATCTAAATCAGATACATCTAATGCATCAGCTTTTGTCAAACCTGACACTACCTATAAATATAAAGTATATCATCTTTGCAGTGTTTACATAGCAGAGATTAACGTTGTAGCAACGAGTCTCCTATAAGTCATGAAGAAGCCAGTTGCAAATGTGGTAGTGGTATCGGATTCTTTAAGTACTCTGAAAGCCACGAATCGAATATTCTACCTTATTATCTATAAGTGTCTATTATTAACTTTATTTATCTATTTTATTCTATTAATTTTTATACTTTTTTTTTATTTCTTTTTTTCGTAATAACCACCTAGACACCTTTTTTTTGTTTAGATATCAAAACAAAAAAACAATTGTTTTTATTTGAAATAATTAACCATTTCACATTAATCTTTGATGAATTATTGAAGGAAGCTAGTCGACTGTTCTACATATCATGGGTGATAAATATTCTTGAAGCAGTCATTTTATAAAAAAATTTTATTATGACTGCATTCTGAATATTTATCACCCATTAATCTTTGATATAAAAAAATTTTTAAATATGAAATATGAAAGAATTTGATAATTAACCAAAGGGGAAATAGGAGATCATAACGGATAATTGTTGTAATGCAGGAACCAAAAGAATAGGAATGCGCCCGTGCTCACCCGAAAGATTATAACAGGCTTCCATACGTAACATGAGCTTAATATAATATGGCCTTCGACAATGTTGTGTACATATATATATATATATACATATATGCGGTTTTCATAAATGCTATCATCGGTATTATTCAATACTCAATTGTATAGAATACAACGATATAAAAATTAAAATTTGTATATGTAAGGATATTTAAACAAATAATAATACCCACAATGAAATATAATTAAATATAGCGTCTACAATTTTTACTTTTACTTTCCCTTTGTCTAAAATGCTTGATTCTGTTAATAAGAGAGTTGTAAATGAAAGTCATGTGATGGGTGTACCAGTTTTTTTTTTTTTACACAAACATTGAAAAAATATGACAATGACAACAGACTAAATACTGATAAATGCCAGATGTACTGAACATTAGTCTATATGTCAGTCAATCAATCATTAATTCTCTGTTTTAACAAAGTGAGCATGATTCCAACAGAACTGATACTAGAAATATGTATTACTATAACTTTATTACAGGGTTCTCTAATAATATGCCTCTCAGTGACATCAAAGTTTAACTAAACTTAAATTGACCTCAATTTAAATGTCATGTAATTGACATCAATGCAACAAATGTGAATGAAGCTAATTTTCGTTGGATAAAAAAAACTAAGTTTGTGCAGATTGGATCCAGATGTGTCTAATATGTATGTATACTACATATATAAATACTGTGCATATATACTTTAATTTTTGGAACAAATATGGACAAAATATCAGGTTTGTTGGTGTGATCTTATTTTTGATACCCGTCGGGTTTACAAAAACTTTAATTATGGCATTTAGATATACAATAGCATGAGTATATATGCAATATTGAAACAATTTGTACCAACCAAAGAAGCAGAAGAAGATGAAAGAAACCAAAGAAGTGGATTTGAATATTTTTTAGTGAGAAACAAATCCCAAACTATATCTTTCCGAAACCTCTATTCCCTAACATATGAAACCCTCTCGCATGATCTTGATGCTATCCCATGGGACTCCATCTATCACTCAAACTCTATTGATACCATGGCAGAAACCCTCACCACTCATCTTCATACCATCCTAGACTGTCATACTCCTCTTATAACAAAAACATTTGATATCCCCTCACTCCTTGGCTAACAACGGCTTTGAGAGAATATATGAGAAGAAGAGATGCTGCTAGACCGTGATTCAAAAGAACTCACCTTTCTGAAGATTATCACTCCAAAGTACTCCGAAATAGCACTCAACCTGCAATACGCCGTGCCAAATCCCTTCACTTCCATAAATTCCTGTCCAGCATTCCAAATTCCAAAGCCAAGTGGGCTCCCTAAATTGTCATTAGGCAAACCCACCCAAACCCAGTCTATTCCTATTTCAGCTGAAGTACGCAATACCCACTTTGTCTCCTCCCCCTTCCATTCCTCTTTCCTAGCGCCAATTCTAACATCCATTCTTACCTCCTTTAATCCCAATCATTTCTTCTTTTCTCATATTACACCCGATGACCTTTTTAATTCCATTCGTAAATCCAAAACCAATGATTTTGGACCAGACAACATCCCGGTTAAATTTTCACTTCCCTCCATTCTCCCTATTCTTTTTCATATTTATTACTTTTCGTTGCAAAGTTCCACTTTTCCCAACATCAGGAACATCTGGAAAACTGCTCTTGTTCGCCCGCTACATAATACATCCAATCCTGCAATCCCTAATGATTTCCACCCAATTTTGCTATTATCTAACCTCTCCAAACATCTAGAACAATTAGTTCAATTCCAATTATCCCACTATTTTGAGCAAAATAACCTTCTGAACTACCACCAATCCGGTTTTAGACCTGAGTACTTGAACCCATTCGGCCCTCATTTAAATCTCCCAAGATCTCCATACAGCTACAGACCAACAGAAACTCACCATCCTTATTCTCCTTGATTTTTCCAAAGCCAAACACTCAGTAGATCACAATATACTCCTTACCAAACTTAAAAATATCTTCTTGTCTTCTAGTGTCCTTAAATGGATCCAATCCTTCCTTACAGATCGCTCCTAGTATATTGTAGTTCCTAATAATCCCCCATCAGAGTCTCTATCTCTGTCCAAAGGCATTTCCCAGGGATCCTCCTTATCACTCACCATTTTTTCTATCTATATTACTGTCAATACAACTTCTATGGCGATGATTTCCAAATTTATCTTTCCTTCGATCCGGCTGATTCTACTGCAGCAATCCCACAACTTCAAGAAGATACAGACAGAATCTTTGCTAGGGCGAACCGCAATAGGGTCATCCTAAACACCGAAAAGATGAAAGCTATCCTTATCGGACACATCTCCTAAATTTCCCGTCGTACTATTTCCACCCTAAAACAGTTCACTCGTCAATGCTATCTCCTTCTATACAAAACCCATCTACTCCTGGTTTCCTATCTTGTTTTTCCCCACTTTGACTATGGTTGTATGGTGTACAGTGGAGTCTCGGGAGAACTCAAAGCCAAAATTAAACGTCTAATGAATTGCTAGATATGTAATGTCTTCGGGATCTCAAGAGATACACATATTACCGAGTATTACACTACAAAGTGGCTCTATCCACCCTACCGCCATCAGTACTTGCTTGCTACCTTTCTATACTAGGCCATTAGAAGTCAGCGATGCTCCTATAGTCTTCAGAGCCTACAATGCAAATTCTCCATTCAATCCTGTCCCACCAGATCCTGTACTTCTGAACTTTATCCTCCTCCTCACCAAACTGCGGCATTTGACAAATCCTTTGTAATTCAAGCTGTCTACTTTTGGAATTTTATCCCTTCCGATATCCGACATGCACAATCAGTTTCCTCATTTAAATCTCTCATTTTTAAGCACCTACTCCTTTCCCAATCCCACTGATCACGAAATGTACATAAGAGAACATCTTAAGATCTCCCAGAAAACATGTTGTTTACTTATGTTATTTTATTTTCCTTTGTTTATTCTATATATATGTGTATGTTTTTGTTTAGTTTTTTATTCTTCCAATGCTTTTATTTTTAATTAGATATTATTTTGTAAATATTTAATTTAATGTATGGCCACACAGGCATTTTCTCAGTATTTATATTTTGTTCTAAAGGGAAAAAAGTTCCAGAATAATAAAAATATTTTCATTTCATTTCATAAAGGGGTAAAATCTAAATGTTATTGTTATGGTTTGGAAGAGCAATAATTCAGCTTTGTTGAAACAGGAGGAAAAACTAAGGAGTTAGTAAAAGCATGAAAAAAAATCTCATCATAAAATCAAGTCCAAAAATTTGTATTTTTATTTCAAAACAAAGTTGTCGGTCTAATATTTTTTGAACTAGTATCATCAAAGGTCTCTGTAAGCTTCCCTTGTTAGTAAGTTAGATGATCACATTGATTTTTTAGCAGGATGACCTGAAGCCTGTTTCCTGCCTTTATTTTCAATTTGGAACATTATAGACTACATTATCTATTGTGTGAGGTTTAATTATTTCCCTTTACAATAAAGTTATAAATTGTTAACACAAGGGAATCCTTTAACTGGGAGATTATTGCAGCCAGCTATGTCATTTATAGATATAAGAAACAAAAATATACAGAGCCTTGAGATACTCTATTTTCTTATTCAACTTTGTTGGGGACAACTTCATTTATCCTTGTCTGTATCATTCTATTGAAGAAGAAAGTCCCAATAAAATTAAGTACATATCATTTCGGTAAAGGTTGTCAATTATTCGTGGTTAGTAAACCATTTTGTACGCCTTTTGTATGACAAGGCTGATTACTATCTGTTTTTTGTTTTCTAAGAACACTGAAAGTATTTTGCTTGTTATATTAACAAGGTGATAAGTAGTTGAATAGTTGATTGATATCATCAACTTACATAATGTGTCCATAAAGGATATTGGCCTATAATCTTGAGGATCTTGTTTATTTTTATAAGGCTTTAATATTCGAATTACAATAGACTTTTCCTACTACAATGAAAAAAGATAAATAAAATAGTTTTTGTTCAAAAGGAGCAATTTTTAAAGATAAATATATCATCTTATTTTACTTAAGAAATCGTCAGATCCTGGAGAACTAATTTCCTGGGAGAGTCGACATTAATATTATAAGCTTTAATTAACTTTTTAATTAATTAATTTAATTTAAAGGACACTCTCTCACCCCAATTTATTGTTACTTATGAAATGCTACATGGAGTTTTATCATAAGATTGCAGTATTTCTTACTTATTATTTGATAACATGACCAACCTTTTTTTTTGAACATCCAGACTGAACGAGGATAGCAAAGTCACCGATCTCATGGGGTACTTCATGAATCAGAATCGTTAGGGTAGTAACAACTCCAACATGGTGTCCTGCCAGATAGGATGCTCCAATAGCAAGGCCATCCGTAAAATTATGAGCTATATCTGCAGCTAAATTTAGATATCCAGCAATCTTTATGTTTTCTGTAACTTAAAAATAAAATGAAATGTAAAACAAATTTTAGAAAGTCAATTAATCTAGTAATATCAGAAAGTAGTCAATTGTAAACTATAAATGATATAGAAAAAAAAGCCAACAAATTTTTTTGACTATGTTTGTATTCCAATATAATTGGGCAGCAAGCTTTTATATGTACACTTATTAACAAGTGTTGCTCTCTTACAATCATAGATATATTAAAGATAAAATTAGGAAAAATTAAATAAAAATCATAGTCAATTATAACAATTTTTGACTCCTTGTTTAACAATATATCTTTTTCTCAATTTTTTAAATGATCCTACATAGGATATTTAAAAAGACAAAAATTTTTAAACTAGATATTTCATAACATCTAGAACAAATCTTTAGGTAGATCCCAACTTTCAATAAACAAAGAGATTAAACCAAGAAATAAACAGAACTAAACACAAATCAATATTTTGTTTTTATTGGATTTTTTCTATACTTTCTGAGCTAACTTTTCCTTTTAGCTCTGGAGCCCGTGCCCAAAAATCGATCTCATCACAGGCTGAGGATGGCTTATTTAAAGAATACTAGGCCAGTAATTTGAGGATCGAAACGAGAAATCCATTGTGAAAAATGTGAGGAGAAAAGTTTTTAGACTTGAAAATGACTCGACGAGCCAAAACGTCGTCATTGTGATGAGTAGTCATTAAGTTGACAATTTTTTTTAAAAATTGGTGTAAATATGGCTAATAATAAATTAACTTGAAGAGAAAAGTTTTTATTTTTTAAACTTGTATATATGGATTTAGACATGTAAAAAACAAAATTGCTAACGCAGGCCACAGAAGAAAACTTTTTTACAGCAAAAAGAGTCATATTTCTTCAATATTTTTTTGTTTTTTCACCTATAACTCTTAAATGATGCATCAAAGCAAAAAATGTACTCTTTAGTAATTTAAAGAACGTTAAATTGTGCATTGAAGGAGTATTTAAGCTTTATAATTTGGTTACATGGTAAGGTATAAAACCACAGTCAACCAATGCTGATTTTTACCAAATTTGTCAAAAATTGAGACAAATTACTATAAATGGCCCAGTAACTTGGAAATTAGTTTCCTAACAGAAAAAATCCATGGAATCAAAGTTGTAAAAATCTGAAAATATTTGTGGATGCTGCTCAAAAGCACAATCTAAAGCTGAACAATGAAAAGAGCACCTTTTCTTTTAAGGTCTATCAAGCTTCTTGGATATTTAATAAGTAACAAGATCATTCAACCTGAACCCAATAGGTTAGAACCTCTCCGAGAACTGCAACCTCCAACGGACACGTCTTCATTGAGGAGAGCCATTGGCATGTTCGCCCATTACTCGACCTACATAAAAGAATTTTCTAAGAAAATGTCTCTAGCACGCAGTGCATTTCCTTTGTCACACGACGCATTACGTGCATTCAGCAAACTCAAACGTTTATTGACTCCAATTGAGGATGATGCTCCATTAACAGTGGAAACCGAAACTTCAGACGATGCTACTGCTGCCACTCTTAGGCAAGACGGCTGTCCAGTAGCATTATTTTGCTGATGCACTCTCTCGAATTAGTTTAAGTATGGCTGATTCTGATAGCCGACTTCAACAATTACATGTTTCTTTGTGTCATCCTGGAATCACAAGAATGTACCATTGGGTTCGTATTAAAAATTTACCTTTTTCCCTTTAGATGATCAAAAGAGTGACCTCATTATGTGAGATATGTGCTGAGATAAAACCACTATTCTTCAAACATCAAGGGTAATTGATTAAAGCCACTTCACCGTTCGAACGCCTGAACATCGATTTCAAGGGACCTCTACCAAATTCTAACGGAAACAAGTATCTTCTAGTAATTGTCGATAAATATTCTCGATTCCCCTTCGCTTTTCCTTGCCGAGATATGACATCTTCTGTGATCGCTGCTCTAACTCAACTGTTCTACCTGTTTGGCGCTCCTGCGTACATCCATTCAGATAGAGTTACATCACTGATTTAACAGGAATTAAAAACATTCCTCTTACCTAATGGCGTCGCATCCAGTAGATCAATTCCTTACAATCCACAAGCCAAGTTGAAAGATACAACGGAATTATCTGAAAGACAATACTACTTGCGCTCAAGTCTAAACACTTTTCTATAACTAAATAGGATACAGTTTTACCTGAGGCCCTACATTCTGTGCGTTCTCTATTATGTACAGCAACTAATGAGACACAACATGAAAGGATATTCAATTATCCCAGACATACGGGGAATGGGGAATCACTACCCAGCTGGCTTATGAAATCTGGGCCTGTTTTCTTTTTTTATTTGTCAGTTTATTTAACAGTTTATTTGCCATTCTAAATCTGATTCTCTTGTAGAGTATAATATGCTGAATATGCTCATATTCGATATCCAGATGGAAGGGAAACAACGGTATCGATCAGATATCTTGCTCTTATCGGGAGCAACAGAAATTCTACCGTATATGACGAGGAGGTAGATAGCAATCAAGGAGCACCTATCGTCAATGAAGCGGAGGAACACGTCAGACCTGATTTGGTATTTGTACCACCTGTTCACGAAGATGGCTTCTCTGGGTCTAATGTACAAAACGAATACCAAGGACAAGCAGAGAACAATCCTTCCGAGGATAGGCCTCTACCTAAATTAGTTATTCTACAATACTTGAAATAAGTGTGATGAACCCATTTGCATAAGAAAGTTATCAGATCAATAAAAGAATTTATAAAAAGCGTAATGTACTTTATGTGATAATTCATACTTTACTAAAAAATATTAACATGAACTTTAGATAACATTGTAATTATAATAATTTTTTTTGTTGCCCTAGTAACAACAGAATGCATTCTATTCCAAGAAATAACAATCATAATATGGAATCAAGTAGTTAAACGATAAGTTTCAAAATTCATGAATCGAATGGTTTAAATTTGAAGAAGAAACACATTATGCTCGCAAACTATGTTAGCTCCACATATGTTTAGGGGAATAAAATATAATATTAGGATCATTCAAATTAAACCATGACAAAAAATAATAAATACCTTGACTAGCACTATCTTCTTTTTCTTCACTATCATCTTCTTTTTTTTTCTCAGTCTTTGATGAATCAACTTCCTTACTAACACCAGCATCATGAGAATGAGAATGAGAATGATTTGGATTGATTAAACGCACAAACTTCTCAATAAAAAGAAACAACAAAATACCAATAAGTACCCAAAGCCCGACTTTCATATCAGGCCCATGATCATGATCATGACTATGACCATGAGAATGCGAATGGGAGTGAGAATGCGAATGGAGGTCTTTCTGAATAGAATGAGAATGATCATGGGCCTGAGCACTAAGTGCATGGGGTATCAGGTGAAGAAATGCATCACCCAAGAGTCCCCCAGAAGCAAAGCTTAACAAAATTTTCAATAAAGGTTCTTGTTCTGATCGATTGTCCAAAGGTACTAGGAACAATATTAAAAACGGTGCTAAGCTGATTAAAAGAGTAGAGCCTAATGCTTCTATCCAAAGAGTTTGTTTGTCCCTTATTCGAGGTTCATCAGCTCTTGGTCTCTGAGCTTCATGTAGCAAATTAGCTTCTTTAGAATATTTAAAAGAAGGCGGTTCTTGTGTGTCATGCTCATGCTCATGATGATGATCATGAGAACTTACTGTTAATGGAAGAATTAAACAAATAAAAACAACTAATAAAGATAACCGACACAAATTTGATATGGAACCATGTCTCTGATAAAAGAATGGCACCTTAAACTTAACTGACACCATATCAGAACTAGGCTTGATACGAACTGAAATTAAAGGCGCCTTGACAAGACATCAGTGAAGTGCAACCAACCAAAGTTGAGTACGTGTATTGCGTTTTCTATTCCACATTTTACCTGATAAAAATGCCATCTAATTCTACTGATCCATTTCTGGAAAATATTTAAATATTTAACCTAGAGTTTCTGATTTCTAATTTCATTAAAATATATTTTTAAAAAAGTGAAAATTAAAGGTCACATTCACATTACAGCTGATAGGTATTTATGATTGGTTATATTAGTTGGCAGGTTATTCTTGTCATGTTTAGAAATATAATTAAAATTTGTTGTGCCGAACGTTACTTTGTTGCGAAAAATAATTTCGATAGAAGCAGAAAGATATGGCGTAGAAAAAATTACGATGTATCAAATCCTGACAAATTAAATAAAGTTGTAATATCAAGCCGCCGATTCAATGACTTATTTTTACGATTGACTCCTCAGTCAAAAACTACTCCTGGATTATGGGGAGCAATTATGCTCTCTGGATTTTTTGGTTTGTTCAAAGAAAAAGAAGAAGAAAAGTCAGAATCAGAATTGATCATGACTATAAAACGTGCTGTTCTGTTGATACAGGTACATAAACTATTTCTAATTTGATTTACATAATTTTAAAATAATAATTAAGAGAAATGTTATTGTTGAGAATATTGCAGAGAGATGACTTCAAAGGTGCAGAACAACTATTGCATGTTGCCTTAAAACTAGCCCAAGATCAACACAATGAAGATGGTGTTACATACATTTATGATTTACTCGCTAACCTTGCATTTGCTCAGGGGCACTTTAATTCTGCTGAAAAATTATTTATCAATGTTATGCAGAGGTTGATGCAAATTGGTGTTTCTGAAGATGATTTGAAAATAAATCATATAAGTTTAAAGTTAGCCAAAATTTATGAAGAGAAAAAGGACGAGAAGTAAGTAACTCCTTTTTCTTGTCTAAATACTCAGTAACAAACTTACTTTTGTCTATAAATGTTTAATATTTTTAACACAGGTTACAAAGCTAAATTACTCCTGTTGTTTTTTCTTTTCATCATTCTAAGCTGAAGTCCAGTTTCACCCAATAGATTATTTGTAGTGGTTTAGATTAGACAGTTTTAAATTGTATCAGTTTTTTTTTTTTTTTTATGTCTCGATATATCTCTGTATTATAGCAATATCATTCTCGTTATTATTATAGCTATTCTTTCGTTTGGTCAATAGTGTCTAATTAATATTTTCTCAATTTATTTATATAGAGATATTTAATAGAACAAAGTCTTGATGTTACCAAACTCCTCTTAGGTTGTGATGTTCCCCCATTTATTTCTTCAGCCTTTTCACCTATCTATTATTGCTTCTGCTTTTCAGATTTTTTACTTTCACTTTCATATATATGAAAAGTATAGGAAGTGCAAGTATTGCGATCGTGAAAATGTTTGAATCTGAGTTTTCAACGGAAATACACGTTTTGAGGTACCCTGAGTCCATATAACCAAGTCCCGAAAAATGGTCTGTGTGTTTGTATGTTAGCAGTCTATTTAAATGTCTGATGTTTAAATATATCTCTTCCTCTAAAGTACCTTTAATTGGTTTATTTTAAATAATTAATCATCTCACATTATTTAGATTACGAAAAAATGCTAAATAATCACATGTTTTCAAGGAAATTAATTGATAATTACTAGCTAAATGTAAACTTTTAAAATATTTCTAAGTTTGAAAAAGTATTTAAAATCCACGTAATCAAGGCAATACCATTGTTTAAAAAACTATTTCATTTTATTTGTGTGAAATATAAAAATATTTCATGGATATATTTATAGCATTAAATACATTTACTGTAATTTAATAACTCTAGATATGATATTATATTTAAATAATTAGGTATCTATTGACCGTTTATTCCAAAAAATCATCAAGTAACCTTTGAGAAACTTAAATTAGTGAATAATTTGATGAATTTTCCCTTTGTGAAATCCCAAAATTATCGTGTCTTCCTCTGAAGTACTTTTAATTTGGTTTATTATAAATAATAACTATTTCTCATTGTTAGAAGTTATGAAAAAATGCTAAATATAACTTTTAAAAGAATTTGAGAATTGAATATAGCAGAAAAAAAGATAAATACATATCTAGGCCGGAAATAATAGTCAGAAGGTATATGAAGTAACCTTTGAGAAAATTAAATTAGTGAATAATTTGATGATTTTTCCCTTTGTGAAATCCCAACATTTCATTTTAGTAAACTTTACAATGGAAAATAATAGTTTAATTACTAATATTCCTACAATTCATAATCATTTATAGGTTAAATATTCATATATACTTTCATATCTCTCTAGCCATATATGAGCCTTTCGGTTGACAGAATGGCTAACTCCAATTTCAACATTCTTTATTATCAATTTTAGTGATGTTTCTAGTGGCAAAATGTAAACCTTTATTACCACTTCTAGATTTCAACACTGCAGTCACCTACTCTGGAATAAACTTATGCACTTTCTGTTTGGATATAACCTTTCCAACTAGAAATATCACTAAAATGACATTACTTAAAAATTTTGAAATTGGAGTTAGTCATTCTGTCAACTGAAAGGCTCAGATACCGAAGTTGTGTGGTTTATAAAAGTAGGTGGAGTAACTAGATTTTTATTGCCTACCATAGATACCAAAAATAGACTTTTTATAATTTTAATGGTCTTAATGATTTGTTATCTGTAAGCTTTAAGCTACAGCTCTGTTAAAAGTGTACTTCAAAAATTTTACAATAGCCCAACATTGCCAGATAATAATTTCTATTCAAAGTAAAGCAGTAACTGAAAGTTGTGTGTTGCGCGCACCAGATTTTTTTAAGGCCATTGTGTTTCACTGATATGTTAAAATACCATAGAAGTCTTTTCATTTTATCTCTGTGCCAGCATGCTCTCATTCATATTCTAAGTTCTCTATAATATTCTTTGAATTGACATAGTATTTATTAGCATCGTTCCCTATAGATAAATCGTTTAAATATTTAATCAACTGTTTTAGTTATTTTTTTTTAAAGATCTGCAGATATTTCCAAATATTGTACAACCAACCAACATTATATAACCAACATTGTACAGAAAAATCAAAGACAGATATTGTAGACATAATTTTTACAAGAGAGATTTGGTCTAAGATGATAACTAGGGATTTGGTGGATGGGTAGAATTTAAACTAATTATTTATTAGAAACCGAGCTGTAATACAAGGTATAGTTTTAAGGACGTGAATGGGCCCTATTATTATTGCTTCAGCCTTTCTGCTTTCAAATCTTCTTTGTGATATTTTTTAATATAGCTTGCTCACTATTAGATGGCAGGCTGAGGGCAAACTTATATGACACAAAGTTAAAACTATGATTTTTTTTTTTTTTTTCCTTACTATCAAATTTTGTTAAAACATATATCAAAAGAATACTAAATGATCTTATAATTTGCAAATAAAATTGGAGGCTAAAGAAAAAAATACAATGTTAGTTTCAACTTAGTGCCAGCTTAGTTCACTCTCAGGCTGGCATCTAACTGTGGGTTAGCCATAGGAACAGATCAGAAGGTGGGAAGGACAATTAAACAGTAATATTTATAAGTAAATACCATTGTACAATTAAAGTTAACAACAAAATATGGACTATAATATGCATTTTACCTTTTTCGTTTATTTTAAAAATCATTTCCCAACTTTTAGGAAAGCTGAAGAAGGGTATAAATTTTGTTTAAAGAATCTGCAAAGTAAAGTGGATGCTTCTCTTGATGATCATGATTCAGTAATGCTGTGGGCCATGGCTTTGGATTGGTAAGTAATTTTGAATCATAATTGTGGTTTATATTTCTGTGAATATACTTTTCAGTATTGTTAGAAGCTTTTTAAGCTGAATATTTATCATCAGAAGTTTTAAGCAAACCTTATTTATTTTCACTGTAATTTTATTTTCCTGTTTTGGTAAGACAAACCTATTTCAGCTTTAAATAATAGTGTAAAAATTAAATAATTAATAATAATAATTTCTGGAAATCTGGTGACAAAATTAAAATTTTAGGAAAAGGAAAATATAACTAAAGAAAGGCCATAGTTTTGAGTTCCTCCAATACTTCATTTTAATTATAGCTAGAAATGAATTCGTTATCTTCAAAATATAAACTCCATTTTTATATTTTTCAAGGAGCATAATATCCTTCCTTCTCCACATATGTTTTATGATTTTTTAAAGTCTTTTTTTATAACGTACAGTCATTGATAGATCTCTGAAAAGTCATGGTTAGTCTAACAATAAAAAATAAATATTTGAAACAAATATATACAAAATATTACTTATCTGTTAAAGAAGTTTAAACAAACAATTTATGGTTATAGTGAATTAATAATTGACTGTTGTAGATATATTGCAGAGAAGTTGGTTGGGACTTTCAGTCAAATAAATAACAAATTAAAAATAAATAAATTATGAGATGGAGTTGGTCAGACGGTGCGGTCTACTAGTCTACCAACTGCTTCCTGCAGTGCCTGAAACCACGCCCTGATCAAGACCTTCAAAGTGGGTCGAAACGTCGGCGTTAACAATAAAATACTATTTTAATAGACAATATTTATTTGACCCGCCTCCCTCCTCCCCTGAACAACTCCTCATATTATACTCACGTTCAACCATCTCTACATCATTATGAATAAATGATATTTATTTTTATTTTTGCCAACACTTAAGCATAAGTTTCAGATCTTCATCAGGGCTAAGAAAAGTCTAGAGAAAGTAGATATGAGATTTTAAAATAGATACTTTTAGAAAGTAATCGTTTAAAAACTACTTGTTTCTCATATTTATGTTATCTTGTCTTTTCTTAACCCTGATCAGTCACAAGTAACATAGTAAAAATAAATAAATTATATTTATTTTTAATGATGTAGAGATGGTTGACCTTGATATAATATGAGGAGTTGCTTGGGGGGGTGCGGTCAAATAAATACTAAATTTTTAAAAAATAGTATTTTTAATTGTTACACCAACGTTTCGATCCACTTTGTAGGTCTTCATCAGGGCGTGGCATCAGGTACTTCAGGAAGCAGTTGATAGACTGGCCCAAGAGAAGCTTTATTTTTAGCCCAACTGCTTCCTGTGGTACCTGATGCCACGCCCTGATTAAGACCTACAAAGTGGGTCAAAACGTTGGTGTAACAATTAAAAATACTATTTTTTTAAAATTTAGAATTTATTTGACCGCACCCCCCAAGCAACTCATATTATATCAAGGTCAACCATCTCTACTTCATTAAAAATAAATATAATTTATTTATTTTTACTTTGTTACTTGTGACTGATCATCCCAACCAACTTCTCTTCAATTATATTATGCCTTAATTTCAATACAAAAAAATTTGAATTTTTCCATTATAAGAAAAATCCATACAGTAACCCAATTATGCGGCAGTGAGAAATTAAATAAACCAGTTGGTTTGCATATGGGCTAATGGCCGAAATGTTGACATGAAAACAAAAATTGTGGAATGAATAAATAGCAGCCTAAATTATTTCAATACCTAAATATGAATTTTCATCTTAAACTTAATAAAATTATAAATTTATTCTGAAAATTATTTTAGATGCATTTGTGGCAGTCAGTATTATTGTACTTGTCTAGTATGTGGTCGTGACAAAACCTCCCTTGTTATCTAATGTCACGTCACATAAACTTCCTTCTTATTCATAAGCTAAGATTTGAAATTTTTGTTCATTTGTGTGATTTTCTTCAACTTATGGATTTTATTACATTGTGGGAATTGCCCTCTTCAGAAGAAGAGGTTATCGAATATTTTCAAAATGCCGGGATAATTTCAAATGTGTAATTGTTTGAAGGTCATCAAATGAAGTTAGAAAGGAAGACAAAATGGAGATGCTTTCTTACCACTTATAAAAAAAATGTTCCTATAAGGAAAGGAAGGTGGTTAGAGGGGTCGAGGATTCCGTTTTTAACAGCTTTAAAATTAATTTATGGGTGGTCCCATAATTTAACAACGATACGATGGGGCAAAGAGTGTTTATATTATTTCTTTTATATGTACATATGTTGTTTAAGTGTTTTTTTATGATTACATTTATTTTTGTCTATTTCACATATATGTTGTAAAATGAAAGTGTTTTCTTATTGTTGTGGGAATTATTTTTTTATTATTACATTTGTTTTTGTTTACAATTTCAATAATATTGATACAATACTATAAATATGAATACGAAGATAGGGATTATCAGTGCCTTATCAGAATTATCAGTGTTCAGGTTATAAATATCGGCAGATAGCAGTAGTTCCCGACCGCGTACTAGACAAGTACCATCATTCCAAAAACAATACAGTATTGCCTTGTATTATTTTGAACAAGTTCTCTAAGTCTCATTTTCAACATACAGAAACTTACCCTTGTTATAACATTCCCCTCTAACATTTGTTTTCTTACATCAAGTTTTAAAGCCTGGATTGTATTTGCCTTTTTATGGTGCCCTTACTGAACCTGTTGGTTCTGTTTAGAGAATTCTCACTTTTAAATTAATTCAAACTTCTCACTATTGCTATTTGTCTGGAATTTTGATATTTTACTTTTTACTAAAAAAAAAAAAAAACATTTTTCAGGTATGCTCGATTTCTATTATCCAAGGACAGATTAGATGATGCTTTGGCCAACTTTGAGAAAGCTTATGAATTGAGCTTGAAACTACATGGAGAAGTGCATGAACAGACTGTAGTTCTTCTTAATGATTTAGGTAAATGTTCTTGCAATAAAGTAAGCTATTTCTTGTTTATAGTACTCTTATTTCTTACGGCTTTGAAGAAGGCTTCAAATGAGGTAATCTAACTGTCAATGAGCAGAAGATGAAATATATCCATGTTTATATCCAAGAGTACCTCCCCCTTCATATTTAATAATTTCAAGAGTTGCTTGGAAATTTTTTTCCATAATTACTCATTATAATGTGGTGTGTCAAAAGATACTGTTAGTCGCCATCTACTCTCCATGGGGAAGGTGAAAAAGAGCAGTAGACTGGTCCCTCACGAACTTACTTCTCAGCAATCAGCTAAGAGGTTAGAAATTTGTGAAAATTTATTGAAACAGCTGGCCTGAAAAACTGCCTTATTCACCATATAGTCCAGACCTCTCACTATCGGATTACTACTTATTTAGATCCATGGCCCATTTTCTTCAAGGGAAAAAAATTTGATAATTTTGTGGAAGTTGAAATTGCGGTCCAACAGTTCTTTGACAGCCATCCCAAAGAAATAATAACACAAATATTTAGTTCAAAAACAATCATTTTTTTTTATACACCCTACTACTACCTAGTTTTATTCTTAGCTCTACAAATAATTATATTTTCTGAATAAATGATTTGCTTTTAATTTTTATTTAAACTTTGACTTTTTTTTTTTTTTGGTTTCAGGAACAATTTGTTATCTCAAAGGTGATCATGATAATGCCCTCATCTATTTAACTAAAGCCATCGAAATCGGAAAACATTTGCCAAATATGGAAGATTTCTCATCAGTTTATGTTAATCTTGGAAACATTTATATGCAACAAAAAATGTTTGATGAAGCCAAAAAATATTGCAAAGAAGGCTGGCAAAATGCAAATCGTCATAAAAATAGTGAAGGAATTCAAGAGGCTACCCTTTGCTTGAAGGAATTATCAAAAATAATGTCTTCGTAGGTTTTAAGATTAATAAATATGGGTTATCATATCTTATCTTATTATCAAGTGTATTGTTCCGTATTTTTTTGTTGTTCGAAAGTCTGTATATATTCTTTATATCCGTAGCTCGTTGGGATGCCAATATCGACAAAAATTATCGATCAATGTTTTAAGGCCTCGTTATTTTTAATATTTGGTTAGAGATCAGGGTGCTGAAGATAGTGTTAGTGAGTGGTGAGAAGGAAGGTTTGGACTCTTATATTCTTTGACATGGGATATGGATGATCTGATATCCTTCAGCTGGGGACGTCAATTAAAAATATCGATTTACTTAATTTTACTTAAATTTTATTAAAGTTAGTATACTAACATGTCGAAATAAAAATAAGGAATATAAGTTAAACAAATTTTTTTGTAAATTGATATTTTTTCTACAACCCCTGTAGTAATTTTATTTGACTAAGTCCAAGTTATTAGAAGAATTATTTCTATTACTTTAATGTAATTAATTAGTAGATTTCTTTAATGGTTATTTTAATATTTAAGCAAAATAACCTAATAAAGTAATCTAATATAAATAAATGATCTCATGATTATAATAAATCATATTTCTTTTATCACATTAGTTGTTTACAATAATAAGAATAGTTCGGTTTAATTGTGCATGTGAAAATTTTTTATCTTAACTTTTATGAAATTCTTTTTTTCCAGGAAAACTAATCTATTAAAGGAATTCTAAAATATTTAAACAATATAAAAATTAATTAGAATAGGTTTAATGCACCCTTAGTTGGTGTTAGGCTAATTTTAATACCGCAAATTTTTTTGTAGTAATCTTACTAGGCTATTGATGTGTTTGTGTGCCTATAGATAACGTTATATTCTCGATAAAGAAATTTTTTATCCTAATATGATATATTGATTTCATGTTACGTTCAACATTTTTAAATAAATTATACTGAAAAATATTATAAGATCCATAAAATAATTAGATAGTTATTTGTAACAGATCTAGATTTTTTACATTTATTTGCTTACAGGCTTCCTTAATTGTTTATCAGTTATGGTTATCTCGGGCGTTTTGTGTTACTAGTAGATCCAATTTTAAACTTGTTTATTTTGTATCGAACTGTAGTATGAGTTTGATTAACTTTTTCCCGACAAACTAAGACTTTGTTGAAATAAAGAAATATTGCGATCTTTAATGATAACACTCAACTTACTTGTTTTACGATCTATTGTGAGTAGAAAGATCTATTAAATTAATGTTTTTTGGAATTATGCTTTATCAGCTAACCTTTAAACCTATCAATGCACAACCAACTTTTTTGCTCTTGGGCCACATTGTGACTTGCTTTATTGATAAATATTTGAATATTATTTTAATTATTAAAAACCTAAAAAATATAAACTTATATGAAAATTATTAATAATTTTATTTTGTTTTGCTTATCCTGCTATTTGTTTGTTTATCTTAACCATTTCATTAATGATAAGACATCTTAGGAAGTGGAGGTTTGATATTGAGAAATTTCATTTGTATTTTCCTTGATCACTGCTTAAGATTGGAAATCGCTTTTATTATTTCATTAGCACTGACTATTATATATTACTTATTATTAGTAAAATATAGGTGCCATGTAAGGAGATGTGTCAGTTGACAGATTGCCAGATAAGAGGAAGTTTGCTATTCTAAGAATTTATTCTCATCATCGCAAATTATATTATCTCTTCTTCTTCTTAATCATTTCCTCTTCTACCGCTGAGCGGTGGTGAGGAGAAATTATATTATCTTGTAATTTAATTTAATGAAATCCATAGAAGTAAAGTATTTCATTTAATATTACTTCAAAATTTTAAGGTATTGCTGCAGCTTATAGGTAATTTTGTTTTTATTTTGCTAAGCTTTGTATTTACTTAAAATTTGAAATTATATTTTTTTAGATCTTTGAAATATGACAATACTGTTGCCTTTTTTATATTTAAGTAATTTATTGTAGACTTAGTTGAAATTGTGTCTTCAAGTATATTAGTGATGTCAATTTTATTATTTAAAACGGGTATCGCTGATAATAATTAAGTGTATATTTGATATTTTTCTAGCACTATGTTTGCCACACTATTTCTGCAATGATGGCACTTATGATGTTTAACTACATTATTCTAAATTTTAATGTTAAGCTGCAGCTTCGAAGAATACAACTCTAGTCATATTGTACTTTAAAAATGATATTATTAAAGAGTCATGATAAAATCATTGCTCAATATTATTACTACTTTTAAAATAATTTTATTAGTTTCAAGTTATTAAATTCTTCACTAACAGCCTGCCTTTAAAAATAAATTTTATAATAAATGAGGTTTGCGGAATCACAGTATAAATAGGTAGTAATAGCAAGGCCAGGAATGGATAAAGAAGTAAGCAGATTAGGTGTAGGACCCCACATCTCAAAGGGTGGTAAATTGTTCCATAGTTATAAAACTTCCTATAAAGTTGTACAAACCAAAGGGTTAATTTATAGCCTCTTAAGTTTTTGTACCTTTCTCGTCTTTTCGGGTATTCCTGAATCAGAGGAGAGAAAAAGAGATTAATGCCAGAGTTAAAAGCTGCTCGGCACCAAAATTCAAACTTGTAATCTTCAGTTTATTAGGTTTTCAGGCAACACGTATTTTGCACATGCGTTAGCTCGCTTGGTCACTCTGAACCCTTATGGCCTTTAAGTAGTTAGCTCTCTTTAGTTGTCTTTGTTTTCTTGATCCTTTTTTGGGGAGCCACAAAATATATTTTCACCACTGAATGCCTCTATATGTCTTGATTCGCTCCTGAGAATGGCTTGATATACGTAAAGTTTGAATCACTGAGAGAGGCCTAGAATATTTTTTTTTTTTTTGATATATTGAGAAAAGAGGGAGGTCTAAGTCAGAAATACCAGAAGATTGGCTCTGTCAGAAAATGATATGAGAAGTAGTCCAAAGCTTCTCCTTACCTAAGGTCTGTGGTGATGATGATAGTAATCATTAAAAAAGAGGACATTAGAGATGTCCTCTTTTTTCTTCCTTCTATTGTGTTAAAAGTGTAGTGACCTTACATTTCTTACAAGACTCAAATCCTATTGAATTGGACATTTGCACAATGGTATCAAAGGGATGGTCTCTTATTCTTTAGGCAAGTAGGGAGCTTAATTTTTCTTCATCAGACTAAGTGATAAAAAATTAGTATATATTTTATTTTTGGTTGGTGCTATAGATCATGTAGATCTTTGATCTAGTTGGGCCATCCATAACTCCACAGCTGATCCCTGTGTGGCCAATTAGGCTGTGCCTTTCCCTTTGACTTGTTAAGATTTAAGGATAGTGACAAATTTATCTAGATCCATGGATTATGACTGCTCAGAGTCAGCAGACGCCTGAGGACCTCTATTTCTTTCTCTGAAACAGCCTCTAGTTGGCTGACAATCCCCACATACCGGTGAGGGGAGGGGAGATCTGGTATACTTACCTCGATTGATGTTGCTTACGTTACCTATTACAAGTGCGTTAGTCCGCTCAGTCATCCCGCCTCCTATATATATACCCACACATAGACACAAAAAATTAACTTTGTGCAATATTTAGTTTGATCATCCAATTATTAAATGTTATTATATCTTATGTCTTGAAAACTTAACTGTTGAGAAATTTTGATAGAAAGTTGATAATTTTCAATCTGATATTAAATATATGTGATAAACTTTGTAATTATTTTAGTAGATTAATTAATAATAGTAGAAAAATATTAATGTGAATTTATAAAAGTAGGCACTGAAAAAGAATAAAATTAATAAATGTATAATGAATCTTTTTTTATTTATTTTATTCTTTAATTGCTTATACAGCACTTAACTTCCCCAATTCAATTGATTTTGACAGTATATTAATAACAAAATATCTATATCTTAAAAAAAAAATGAATTATATTGTATTGACAAGAGTTGAAAACGCTGTAAAATAAACTTAAGAAAAATAAGCTCATTTTTGTTATTCCAGCATGAAAGAGTTTGCTAGTCGAATAAAAAAAAAAAAATGTGAGTGTATGATTAATTATTAGCCAGATTGTTCTGAAAATACTTTAAGTGGATCATAATTTGTGATGGTTAGTAAAATAAAAATTGAAAGTGATAATAGTAATAAATGTTAAGTTAATTGTTGACAATAAATATCTATGTGATTGCTTAAACGGAAGGAAAGTGAAAAAGAAAAAAACAAATCTTTTAATCAGTTTGTAAATTGTTAAATGGTTAACAGATTGATTTCCGATTCCTCTGGCCACCTTAAAGTCTGCTTTTAATTTTTTTAAATACTATTTTTAAAAAAATGTATGTACATTGTTTGTATTTCACTGATTGACACCACAATTATAATAGACATGACTGTCTTCATAATTTTTATGATTATTTTGTTTAATGTTAGATTTTTTTACATTAAGTATAGATATAAAAATTTCAAGTGTTTTTTATTTTAAATTGTTTCTATTTTCTACTCCAATTACATACATCCCATGTTGGGATTCTTAATTGTGATTTCATATCTGTCTACTTTTTATAAACTCATGTTTTATCAAGAGAATATTAACTTTTAAAGTATAAGTCATGCAAACCTTTGATATCTTTAATTAAAATAAATATGCATGCTACACTTTTATTGGTTATGAAGCACCTAGAAAATTACTTAAATAAATTAATTTCACTTTTAGAGCAGCTGTTTTTGAAGTGTATTTATTTTGTAGAAAAAGATTTATTTGTTTCCTTTCTTAAAAAATAACACGTTACTAGTATATAGATAGATTATTTATAAACAACCGTAAGATTTGTGTTGAGAAAATATTTAAAGAAAACTATTTAATTCTCTTATCTGTTCAAAAATTTATTATATTATTTATTTATTTGTTATCTGTTATAAATTTATTTATTTTTACTGTTGACTCTTACCCCTTAGAAAATAAGATTCAACAGTTTCAATAGTGTTTCTAAGACTGGTTCAACATATCATTGCTTGAATTCATTTTACTTTCATTTCAATTACATTATTATTATTTTAATTTATTAGTATGTATACTTTATTAGTAGTTTCAATTGTGATAATTTGTTTATGCTTGAAATTAGTTGAAGTTATTTTTTCAAACCATTGTTTGATTTCATTAAAAATATTTATTCTAAGTTACCTTGTTAAATAAATTATAATTAAACCAATGACTTTTATTTATATACTTCTTCCTTTATGGCTGTGATTTCTTCCTAATAAATTGGTAACACTTTATTTTCAATAATAATTTAATTTTATAAATAATATTATTATTTTCAATTATAATAATTTAAAAATTTATTATTTTTTTTTTATTTTGTATGAATTCTACACTTGTGACTATTACTTATTGCTATTCATTATGGTTTATTGTAATATTTAACAATAAATAAAAACCTTAATCAAATAATTATTTGTGCGTTTTAATTTCACTTTTATACATTTATATTTTAATTATTAAATGGTAAAAACCCATATTTACAAATGCATTTTGGATAATATAAAATATCTGGTTCATTGAATGCAGCTTGAAGAATTTTATTTGATGAAGCTTGGTGGAAGTAACTACCAAACTTGTGGGTTTTGGGAAAAATTAATTTTTTTTTATTTTTAAGAAAAGGGTATTTAGACTAAACATTTAATTGATTATTAATGGGCAGGATAGTGGGCTATATTTTTTAATTTATTACCATTAACACCACTTATATTTGTTATGATGTATTAGATGATCTCATATACTAAAAAAAAATATACAACCTGTATTAGTACAACCCATGGAAGTATTGTACTCATCTGAACTATTCCACCCTTTACATAAAAATTGATCTTTGCTAAAAATTCAAATTTATGTATGTTGATTTTCCCATAATACTTTTTACAAAATTTTTATTTATAACATTTAACCCTTATATAAATATATATATATATTTTTTGAAATTAAAAGATTTTGAACAAATTGTTCATCTTCATGAGTACCTTATCTGTTTGCAATTTTTTTTCTTGTCAATATGTATATCTCAGCATGATCATCATCATTATAAAATACATGTATTAAATTTAGTACTATTGAATAATTTGGTTTAACCCTTATTAATTATTTATATTACTTTATTGTATTTCTTTAATCCATAGGGAAATTATAGTCTGAGGGTTCATAAATGAATGACAATGATGCAAGAGTACTATAATGAGATAATTTTTTTCAAAAACATATTTTTGATATATATATATATATATATATATATATATATATATTTGTTCTGTTTCCTTTGTGCTTTTGATTTATTAGATTTGCTACTAATAATTAATTTGGTTTAACCATGTATTAATAAATTATATTATTTTTAAATACCCCTTACTAGTGAAAAATTAAATATTGTCATTATTATAATGTGTAAATAATTTTTAACGTATTTTTTTAAAATTTATATATTTCTTAATTAGTGGAAAAATGTTTTAAAAAGAGATGGATTAATATTTTGATAACATAGAACATAGAACTTATCTTTTGGGAAGGTCATGGGGGGAGAGGGGGCTTTGGAACTGAAGCCCACCTCCCCAAAATGGTAAAATATAACCATGTTTTATGGAAAAAAATATTTAAAAATGATCTCTTAAAGTATTATTGTTGAGTGTAATTACATTTAAAAGGACTTCAGGAATCACTTAAACACCATTTCATATAGGTAATTAGTTCCTTTCTTTTTTTTCAAAGTAGTTATCGTTATCTTTATGGAAAAAAAAGCTTATGGGCTGAAGCACCTCTCCCCAAAATTAAATCCTGGATCCCCTAATGGGGAAGGGTAACATTTTACAAAAATAATTCTGTTTTCTATTTAAACATACTATGCCAATAAAATCTCAATTTTTGAACTTAAAAAGGTACTAATATTGTTTTTAATTTCTACTAATTCTTTGAGTAAAATTGTTTAGTACAATTTTTGAAGTTTGAAGCTGGCAATTAAATTTATTTATAATAATAATTATTTATTATGTTCAAATTATTACGATTACGATCTTTTGCTTCCCACATTATGACATCACTGAATTCAATTACAAGTGAACTATTCTGAATTGTGTTATTACTATTTCAGTATCATAATTTTAAAAGTTCAACATTACAACCAACCCCCTTTTGAATACCGGCAGCTCTCAATGAAGACTGAGCTCTTCGCCAGAGATCGGCCATATTCGGTTAAGATCGGGTCGCCTTGGCAACAGGGAGGGCTTTGACACTGTTCAGTCGACGGTGCTCGAGCCGTGTGCCTTGTGTTCCGACTGTCATGGACTAACTGTTCCCTATCTCGTATCCTGTCAACTATCTTCAACTTCTCGCCTACAGGCCATATCATTAACATCCTGATTAACGTTTATGGTGAGCATAGAAAAACATGTTTTATGTGGTATTATGTGCATGTTTATGTTGCTATCATCGGCTATCAATGTCTCCTGTATTTCAACTCCTCGAGACTTTAACGCACTGACAGTTGCATACAGCTTCCCTTTTCTCTTATGTGCTTACTCTTTGATGAATTATGACTATCTTAAATATTTCTAATTATTATTTAAAACATTTGTTACTTTTTAATTATTAATTTTTACACCTGAGTATACATTTTTATTCGAGCTTGATTAACATTAAATATATCTCACACTTGGCAAGTAGGATGCTATAAGTCTTGTTTTATTTTTATTATTAAAATATTATCATATCTTCAATTACATCACTAAAAAATATTAAAATTAGAAAATGTTGTTTTTTATACCGTCAGTTGAAAATTTAATTCGAAAACTACACATGTTATTTATGTACAGAATTGTGTTTATTTTTAATATCGTTTTCACTTGAACCAACAAAGTTGTATTAAGTCTTGATTTATAAATATTAAAAAAGAAACAAAGTTAAGTCTAATTACATTTAAAAACAAAATGATAAGCATTGTATATATTAGCTACAAAAAAAAAAGAAGAAACTGGTATTTATCTTTTCGTAGTATAGAAAATATAATCTTGGAAATATCGCAGTGTTGTACCGAAGTTATTGCTTGACGAAATTATACATCACTCCCATGATAAGAGTTATCAGCCTCGAAGATCTCGACTCGGATCTAAATTGCAGGAAGATTCTCGAAGGGATTGGTGACTGCATTGCGGCTTTGGGCAGTGTGGGCTCAGGCAAAATCTTTATCTTTGCAGCTTTGTGCATCACTCTCATTCGCACACAAATTTCTTTTGTCTCTTTCAGTTTTCCGTAGCACCATCATTAGCCATTTTATATCTCTTTTCATGGGTCCAGTGTTTGATTAATTTATCAGTATTTTTATTATTCAAGCTCCTCCTTAAAACAATACCTACAAACTTATTTTTTCATGTATACTACCTACAGAACATTGGTCGAAAAAAAAAATTAGAATATTTTTTTTGGGGGTTTGGTATTTGCGATTGTTTTTACCTCAACAATTGTGGAAGATTGAAATCAAATTATAAGTTGGTTCCTACTAATGATGTACCTATTATTGATGATTATTATTTCCTTCTTATAAATATACTAATAATTTTAAGGGCTTGATGCAGTTGAAACGTCATTTATTTTCCGTACTATAACTTTAACTCGATTCCTTATATAGATCGTCAAAAAAATAAGAGGTTAGAGTTGGGCCAACTTTTTAAAATACTCCCTACTTTGAATAATAAAAATACACATCGGATTCAAATATTCCTAGTTCATTTTTCAATTTACATTAAACGTTTCAGCCCTTCGGCCATTTTCAACGGAAGAAATCTTATAGTAATATAAAATTAAATTAATATGGGTTAAATTGCCATTGTCACAATACTTGTCTAATAGTACTTGAAAATTTAGCTTATTAATATAGCAATCATAGTAATCTAGTCCATATGATTTTATTTTTATATTAAAATAAGGTTTCTTCCCTTGAAAATGGCCCAATGGCTGAAACGTTGAATGTGAAGTAAAATTAAAGTAGAGCTATTTGGATCTAATGTATGTTTTTACTATTACAAATAATAAGACCTGGCCAATAATATTGAAATATATATATTAATACTTCTATTTTTAGTTGTTTTGTTTTATTTATTATTTTCATTTTTCTTAGAAAGGAGATTGTTTGTTTATTAGTTTAAAAAAAAAAAATGTTGATGGCGTCGGACGTTTAAATTTATGGAATTTCTCTAATTCTGGAGAAGGGGTTTTTATAGCAATGTATTAATCTAAATTTTATTTATTTTTAATGACTTCTGGGATTAAACTGTTTAAAAAAAAGTATTTATATGTTTCGCTGTGAAGTTAATTATATCAACTAAATTTTTATAAATTAGTACCCAGATGTTTTTGTTGATTTGAAGATAAAAATGAGATTAAGTTACAAATATGAAACAAAAAATTACTGATATTCATAAGTATACACACCACGAAAAATGTGTCTTTCGAATTATGAGTGTATTAAAAAAGAGCCAGTTTTCTCTTAATTTAGTTTCTTTCATATATAGGTTGTTTTTTGCGTTGTTACTGTTTCTTTTTTACTGTCAATAAATTTTTCAGAAATGTTGATATATTGACAATCAATCAATTGTTGTCAATAAATTTTCATAAATTTGTTGTTTATAATTATGGCTATTTCAAATATTTTTTTCTATTTTAGAAGAGGGAGCCGCTGTTCCCCTTGCCTTCTTGTCATACTTATATTAATAATGCTCTCTTCATCTTGCGTGATTTCCTCCCATATCTATTAGATTTTCTCCTAAGATGTCCTTAGTCTGTTACTTATCAGGATGATTATTCGTCTTGTATCTTCTACCAGAGATATTATATTGATAAATATAATGAAATAAGGACTATACATTTTTCAGATATTTATGAAAATTCGTAATATCTAATAGTGTTAAAATTAAAATTAAAATTTTCACTATCTTGGATGTTCAAATCTATCAAAAACATAAAACTTTGATCATCATCTTCATAGATTTCCCTTCGTCTTTCTTAGACCTTCGTTTTCATCCTGTTCGGACCTGTATTCGTTTTCATCCTACGTGAACTGTCATACAGCAAACCCTCTTTGTACTCTTCCATACTTTTTTCTTATCAGGTTCTGCACAATTTCTACGTTTCATTCCATCAGCAGCTTTTGAGTAGTAAAAAATATAGCAGAAAAGTGACATGTATTAATAAGTTTATGATACTTTCATTCAAAGTTTAAGATTGACAGTTTTTATTCGTGAATATTTGCTAATTTATATTCATAGAATAATATATAATATTTTTTTTAAGCACTCCATATATTTTTTATTGGACTTCATTTTTTGTCAATTATAATAGTATTAGAATATTCTTTTTTTTTTCTTCCCCATGAAATAACTATTTTTTTTAATTCAACACAAGTCTCCTGTTGTTTACTTACAACATTTACTAACGAAGATAGTGAACAGTTGTTAATTATCTTTCTTTTATAAAATTATCGATATAAAAACTTTGGGTGTTTTATGAAGTCATTCGCTCCCCTTTTCGCTCGGTGAAACTATAATTTATCCATCCTATTGCAATGAAATTGAGCAATTGGTTAAAAAACAACTTGCAATGATAAATCAAAGGTCCCCATACTCCTACACTGCATCAAACCTGTTTCGAAACAAATTGTTAAGAAATTAAAGGAACTGCGCTACGAAGTACTTCTGCACCCACATTATTCTCCACAGCTGTTTTACTAGGGTAATCTTTCCTTAGGGAAATCACATTTTACTATAGTAACATTATTTTTATAAAAAAAAAGAAGATTTTTGTCTGATAAGATAATTTTTACAATATACAATATTATATAAAAAATCTGGTGGAATTTTTTTTTATTAGAATATTAGATGAAGAAAAAAGTAATACATTTCTTCAGGTTTAAAAAATTCTACATATTGAAGTCTAAACTGCCACATATATTTATTTTTATTTGACGCTTTGATCGTAATTAAAGTCATTTTATATATTCTAATATTTTCATTTGTAATAAATTTTGTATCCATTGTAAGACGACCAATTTTATGACATGCTACACAAATTTTGTATTGTCATAATGATAGTGAAGTTATTAAAGTTTGTATGGTTTTTTTTATTGGTATTATTTTTTTTTTTAAAGAAATATGTAGGATTGTTGGAATCATTGTTTTTAATTTTCATGAATTGTTTTATTGTTTTTTTAACAATATTTAATTATTTTAATAAAGTTTGAAAAATATCATAATTGTGGTTTAAAACTAAAACTAATTCATAATTTGAAACTAAAACTATACAATCCTATTAAACTTTTTGTTTTAATATGTAGGTGTTTCTTCATAGACCACCCGATTTATGAAAAAACTTTTCTTCAATTCCCTAAAAATACCCTCCCTCCCCCCTCTGCTATTGTGAATTGTAAATTAAAGGGAAGAGTCACGGAAGCTGCTAATCGCTCTCTATTTTACTTTTTTGTTTCATATTTGCCTCAACTGGAATGACTTATTGCCTCCCCTAATGATAATAACGTCCGCCATGGACTTCTTTACTATTAGCAGTTCTCTTCACTCAACTTAAGAATAGTTTTTTATTTAAAAAAATATGCCATACAAATATAAAATAATTACTATTAGTCATTAATAATGTGAATCAAATCTTATAACTTGTAAAATGTCGAACGTCTAAAATAAGTCGAATTCCATCCAATTAACTGAAGGAGGCATTTTAGATGATGGAAGTACATCAAAGTTCAGATAGTTTATCCAAATATAATAATTATAGCGAAGTGTCTGAAAAAATATTACCAAGGAAAAAACATACAACCATCTATTTAGCTCCTTTATATTTTCTGATTTTCTACCGAATATTTAAGTTATTGCATTAAACATGTATATATTAGTGAAAAATACTACTTCCAATATAAAGCCTTTAATAACAATAACATTATTAAACCTTTCGGAATATAAATCCATCTTCAGGATTCCTCCTTGAATCTAGCATTACGTATTGGTTGTGAATTATTTCTCTGTTCCTTTCCACCAGCGAATCCAGGATTTAATTTTGGGGGTCACTTCAGCCCGAAAGCTTTCTTTTTTCATAAAGATAACGATAATTACTTTGGAAAAAATGAAAGACACTAACTACCTATATGAAATGGTGTTTAAGTGATTCCTAAAGTCCTTTTAAATGTAATTACGCGAACAATAATAATTTTAGAGATAATATTTTTGATATTTTTTTCCATAAAACATGGTTATATTTTACCATTGGCGTGGTCCTTTCAATTTATAAAATAGATATTCTCATATCTAAAATTATTAATACTCAAATAGAAATATTGTGGAGAATAATATTTGGGCAGATATTAATGTTACGTGCAATAAATAGTTATGACTATCCATTTTATGGATTGTAAGTACCATCGGAATAATTCACAACCACCATATTGTGTAATTGGAATGATTCTAGATAAAATCCTGAAAATGTAGGTACAGTCCGAAATGTTGATTTCATAATATTATTGAGAATAAATGAATTATTTTATAAATTAAATTTTTAACTAATATAGATTGAAATTTTATGCGATTCC